ATGGAAAACCTACTGTTTCCCACTTGGGCACTACACTAAGTGATTCCACAGTGACTTTCTCATTTAATCGTAACTTTGTCAAACAGATATCTCTATTATGAAGATGAGAAAACAAAGAGGCAGAAGTTATATAATCTATCTGGGTTCACACAATTACTGAGAAATAGTGCTGAGATTTAAACCCAGACCTCCTGTGTTTTCAGTAGCCTCATAAATGTCATTTTTATTAGTGGTTTTTAGTATATTCACAAGTTTGTGTAGCTATCACCACTAATTCTAGAACCCTTTCATCACCCCAGAAACACTGTACCCTTGATCACTCTCCACTCTTCCTATTCCCCAGCCTCTGACAACCATGAATCTACTTTCTACCATTATGAATTTGACCATTTTGGACATCTCATAAACATGGAAGCATGGAACTGGTTTTTCGTGAGTGCCTTATTTCACTTAGCATGATGTTTTCAAGACTCAGTCATGTGGTAGTATATATCAGTACTTCATTCCTTTTATGGCTATATAATAATTCACTGTATGGATGGATATACTGTTATTTTGTTTACCTACTCATCAGGTAACGGACATCTGAATTATTTCCACTTTTTGGCTATTCTAAGGCGGCTGCTATAAACAATCATGTACAAATTTTTGTATGAATGTGTTTCCAGTTCTCTTGGGTATATATCTCAGAGTGGGATTGCAAGGTCAGGTGGTAATTTTATGTTTAAGTTTTTGAGGACCTTTCAAACTGTTCTCCAAATAGGCTGCACCAGTTTACATTCCCACCAGCAATAAACAAAGGCTCCAATTTCTTGCCATCTTCTCCAACACTTGTTATTTTCCACTTTTGTTTTTTTTAGTCATTCTAGTGTTATCTCATTGTGGTTTTGATTTGCATTTCCCTAATGACTAATGATGTTGAGCATTCCTTCATTTGCATATTGGCCATGTTTTTCAAGAAATGTCTATGAAATTCTTTGCTCATTAAATTTTTTAAAAAAATTGTTTATTATTGAATTGTAAGAATGTCTTATATATTCTGGATACTAGACCTTTATCAGATATTTGATTTGCAAATAATTTGTCCCATTCTGTGGGTTGTCTCTTTACTTTGTTAAATTTTTTCATTTTGATGTCCAATTTACCTGTATTTTATTTGGTTGCTTGTGCTTTTGGTGTACTATCTAAGAAACCATTGCCTAATTCAAGGTCATTCAATTTACATGTAAATATAATTCTAAAACTGAGCTTTTAAAGACTTTCTCTTCTCCTGCAAGGGAGAGATGTATAATCTCTGTGCAGTTTTAAATGAGCCTGAGTATCTATTTGGCATTGGAAAATTGGACTTATTTTTATTAGGGGGCAGGAACATTATATTAAATAATTGGAGAATTCACAAACTTTCTTCCAAATTTATGTAAAGTACTTATTACAGGGCCTTAAATAAATTGTGGTTTTGCTTATTATCTAAATCATTACAATTATTGTAAGAGATTTTAAAACATGGCTCAGAATAAAATAAGTAGAAAATAATAATAAACATTTGGAACTCATAAGAGAAAAGCATTCAAAGAAGAAACATTTAGCAGATGCTATAGCTAGATGTTGAAACAATCTTCCTGTGCCTGCTAGATTGACCACCTAAGGAATAGCTTTTGTATCTCTAATCAAGAGTGAAGTCCCCCAAAAAGTGGAGACAAGGAAAAACCTTTGTTTCATGACCTGTTTCAAACTCCTTAACTATGTAAATGTGCATTCAAAATTTTATGGGACAGTTCATCTAGAGTTGGGCCAAGGGTCTTGTTTTTTGGTTCAGATTATTTTTTTCACAGAATTTAAAAATGGGAATTTTGCCCTCGTGGGTTTGGCTCAGCAGTTAGAGCGTCAGCCCACAGACCAATGAGTCTTGGGTTCAGTTCCAGTCAAGGGCATGTACCTCAGTTACAGTTTGTCCCCGGCCCTGGTTGGGGTCTTGCAGAAGGCAACAGGTCAATGTGTCTTTCTCACATCGGTGTTTCTCTCTCTCTCCCACTCTATTTTGCATGCAAAAAATGTCTTCAGGTGACATTTAAAAAGGGGGGGGGGAGATTTTAGGGTATTTGCCTTTCAAAGCCCTCTCTTACTCCACCACAATCCGTGGGGCAGTCTCCAGAGAGGATTTGAGGACACCACCTATGACTGTACAAGCAGTTCATTGCTTAACTACAGGGGTGCCATGTGCCTCAAAGTCATTATCGATGCAAAGCTATTATGCTTTTCCAGAAGATGAATAGACATGTGTTTGGAGAAGAGGGTCCTTGACCTATCCTGTATAAACTCACTGACGAAGTAAGCAATGTGGCAGTAAAGGGTATCCCACACCTTCCAAGTGTTTGCAGGCAGTACATCCATAACCTTGGAAGTGTGTCCATCAAGTGTTCAAGTTCTGGAGAACCAACCTGGGGCTCCTGGGTTATTTTGGTAGCTGTCTGCTCTATAGTAGTCCTTTGCTTTGTCAATGTGGCAATAATACCCATAAATTTTAACAGACACATACCTATGGCTTATAGAACCCCTGATCTTTGTGTGTTTGAAATAAGAGTAACAGCATCAATGGACACTGTAAATAATAATGATTTTAAAAATGTGATTTCTCAGTAGAAAAATATTTAAAACTCACAATTTTCAGAAGAAATTCAAAGGACAATTAAGCATATGAAAAACTCATTTTACTAGTAGTAAAATAAAAATGGTAAGGCATCATTTTCCACTTACGAGACTGACTAAAATAAGAGCACTGGCAAAGGAAAGGAGAGATGGCATTTCTATGCTGTTGACAGAAGTGGACGGGCACAATGTTTTTGGCAAAAGTCAAAATGTCAAATGAATGTTTCCTTTGACATCTGCTTCCAACATTCCACTTCTAGGAAATTATTTGAGTAGAAATATGTAAGTAGGCAAAGCTTTGCGTATATGAATGTTTATTGCAGTATCAATGGCAGCACTGCAATATTTGAAAATATGCCTCCAATTACAATTTATTGGTTGAATAATTCTAAATAGGATGTGTATTTCCTTCCTTTAAAAACTGTATGTGCATATGTTCATGCATGCATGTGTGCACACACACACATACATAGTCGTAGAGAAAACGGTGTGCAGTGCTTACCTCTGGTCTCAGGAATGGGGGAAAGGAGAACTTTGACTTTCCCCTTTATATATTATTGTAATGTCTAATATTTTTTAAAAATCACCTGTAGTACCCTTAACATTTTTTAAAAAGTAAATCTATGGAGTTTATATTCCATTTCTGAATTGGAAGCTAGCCAGCAATGTACTTCAATCTTATACTAAAAAATATTGAAAATATTTTTGTCAAGTGCTCATAGGATACCAGCTATTTAGGGGTGGGGTGATAAAAAAAAGAATTAAGGTACATTTCCTAATCAGAAGCCAGGGAGACTTTGAATGACATTATTCTGTATACTATGGTTTTTATCTGCAGTAGATTAATAGTGGACTAAGGACAATGATACAAAATGTAAGAATGGCCCAGGCCAGTTTGGCTCAGCGGTTAGAGCGTCGGCCTGCGGTCCGGAGAGACCCGGGTTCGGTTCCCGCTAAGGGCACCTACTTCGGTTGCAGTTTGTCCCCGGCCCTGGTTGGTCGTGCGGGTGGCAGCCACTCGATGTGTCCCTTCACGTCGATGTTTCTCTCTCTCTCTCCCTCCCACTCTATCTGTACAAAAAATGGAAAAATATCCTCGGGTGAGGATAAAAAAAAAAAAAAGAATGATGGAGGGACCCAGTTTTTGTTGATAATAGAAAAGCATCTCAGGCTCTGAGGAACTACAGCCTTTGTGCATGTGTTCCTAAGCGGCACAGGTACTATTCACCATCTTCAACAATTCAAGTCTGCACTAACAGGAATCCCCAGAATCCAGCTTTCCTGGGGTGTTCATGCAGTTACCAAACTTCTCAGGAATGTAAATGAACAAAAAAATTTACATTTATAACATAGCTCCTCTATTCCTAGGACAGATATGTCCTTGCAGAAACATAGGACATTGCTGTGGTGTGAATGTCTGTGTCCCTCCAAAAGTTCATGCTGAAATCTTACCACCCAAAGATGATGGTATTAGAAGTAGGCCTTTTGGGAGGTGCCCAAGTAATGAGGCCAGAACTCTCATGAATGGGATTAGTGCCCTTACAAACGAGATCCCAGAGAGGTCCCTGGCTTCTTCTACCATCTGAGGATACACTGAGAAGTCTGTGACCTGGAAGAGGACCCTCACCTACTGAATGGCACCCAGATCTTGGACTTCCAGCCTCTAGAACTGTGAGAAAGACATTCTGTTGTTTATAAGCTGCCTGGTCTGTGATATTTTGCTATAGTAGCTTTAATAGACGAGACACTATGTATAGAATTCAAAAGACCAGTTCAAGTTCTGGTCTTTCTTCTTCTCATGAGCCTGAAGTAAGTCAAATACTCTCCATGTCCCTATTTCTTAGCCTAGAAAGGAGCTCTAATAATTCCTATGCCAACTCCTTTCTTAGGCTGACCCAAGGCTGAAATGTGGTCATGCTGGGTAAAGTGTTTTCAAAGCTGTGAAGTGCTCAAGGAATGGGAAAGTATTTTAGTACAAATGTGACTCAGTATTATTTTGAAAGTGGGAAATTTTCAAGGATGAGCCTGAGTTTATGCTTTGTCACTTGTTCTGTTTTAGCAGAATTCTGTTTAAAAGGACTTTGAAAAAAGGTGATGTTTTATTAAGTTTTATACATGGTAATCATTGCAGGCCACTTCTGGTATGAAGTGTATTAGATGTAATTCTACCTCAGCACTCACAGATGACTTTATTAAAATGAAATTTTTTTTAATGACAGAAAATTAAGAAACAATTCTATTTGACTTATTAGAGATTCCATCAGGGCACAGACTGTAGACATTCTTTACCTCTTCCGCAACAATAAAATGAAACACTGACTTAATTTAGTAAAAACATTACTAAGAGGCAGGTATTTTGCAGGCAAGAAAACCTTTTATTTTAAACCACAAATAGTCAGCAGATGGCCACAACTATCCATGTTTCATTAAAATCACATAAACCTAGGTACAAAAGCACCACTGATTATTGCTCTAGAAAAACTGCGTGAAAAATTCAATATGCACAGTAAAAACACCACAGTATGCACAGGACTAAAATGTTAAAGCAAATTCATGGAATGCTGAATCCATTTTACACACAGCTTCCAATATTAAATTTATTTTACTTGAGGATGATGGAAATTTCCAAAAAGATTATGAGAAGGTAAAATGTCCATCCTTATATATTTTTGTATGCCAACTAGTAGAGTTCTAAAAAATTAGCATTTACAAAAACTTGGTAAAAATAGCTTTTAAAAGTTGTCCCAAGAGGTACATAAAATCAACCCCAATTTCTCATGACAATTCATTTTCCTTCGATATCTACAGATTCAGTTTTCTGTACCTGTGGGTGAAAAAAGAAAAACAACAATATAGTTACTATTAAACCTACTATAAGCCAAATAAAAGTCCACCCCACCAACACACACACTTTAGAACATCTGTTTTTTAGTAGCTCTACCACAAAACCTATTTCAGCTCTGGGTGTCAAACAGACAAGGCAGGAATACATTATGCAAACACTCTGCTGCATTTGTTGCTCTCTGCTTTTCAAACAACCACAGCAGCTTTCCCTGCAAGCTCCCACTGTTCATAATAAACACCACCACACCACTATCTGATGCTAGTCACTGCAAACATGCAGAATTTTCTACTGTACCCTTAACTCTCACTGTTTCAATCTGCCCCTTTACTGACAGTGTGCTGGGTGGGGTACCTCTGGAGGTTGAGACACTAACAGTTGAGCGAGAGATGTGGATCTGCAATAACATCACAGGCAATGAAAAGAGACATTAAGAACATGCTATCACCAGCTGAAGGATCCAGCAATTTCTTAAGACACTGATTCAATCAGTGGGAGGTATTTATGCAAAGTACCTCTTCAACTTTAGTTTCACCATTTTCAGATGGTGCAGTACCTTCCTTTCCAGCTTCCTGCTTCTCCTCCTTCTTCCCTTTAGCACCTTTGTTAACCTTTGTTCCAGGTTCTTTCTAGCAGAGGATCAAAGCACAGACAGAGTATGTTAGACATGGTGTGCTGTTAGCTAAAATCAGTCAGTCTCCATCTAAACACAAGGTAAAGCACAACCATGGCCAACACGGTGACTTTTGGGGAAAATGGAAACAATTTTGCTGGGCATCAACTGAGTTCTACGGAGTCTCTGAAAATGCCACAGGCTGCTTAGAGTCCAGTGGACCTTCCCTTCTGGGAAAACACGACGATTCCCCTCGTATTTGTTTCGGTGGACCTCCTCTCTTGATGAAGTGAGAAGTGGCCCTGCTGTGGAAAGAACAGCAGCAGCTGGTGGAGGACAAGGCAAAGCTGGGGAAGAACCCAGCAAGCGAAACACTGCACGTGGGCACGTGGGCTTGAGTGACTAGGGAGCCGAGAGAGAACTTGAAAATGAAGACCCAGATCCTAATTTTAAGGTCAAGCTACAGAAGTGAGTTCTGCTTCTGAATCACCTACACAGACCACAATACACATAGTTTCAAACAATTCACAACAAGAGACAATGCTCTGAAGGGCAGGGTAGAAAAAAAGCCATTTGGGGGTCAGTTTCTGTGCTTTTGTGTCCTCATCAGCGAAACGGGTTGTTTATACCTACCTCAGTAGGGCTGATGTGCAGGTTCTATGAGAAACGCAACCAAGCAGGCTCTGGCATAGTATAAGGGCCACATAAATGTTTGCTGGTATTAATTATTTGCTAGTATTAATTATTATGTGGTTACCATGAAATATCAGACTGGCCTACTAAGGCCAGTGATGTGGAGTCAGAGCCCCAATTGCTCGGGCTGTTGGCCAGGCTCGGCCCCTCTGAGCACCGTGTGAACGGCACGTTCAGAAGGAAGTACCAAACCCCCTTGGACATGAGGCTTCTCAGAGCAGTGTGTGCTGACTTTCTTCACTTTATTGACCAGATGGAAAACACATTCCTGGTCAAAGCATAAAACTGTGCTTTATGCCCGTTGAGAAACCCTTTAGCAGGGGTAACAGTTTTCTAGTCAGTACGTTTAGCCTGAAGCATTAAATGTGATCTTTCCTCGGATGACTTTTGGATATGAAATTATAATTTATTCATTGTTTAAAAAGCCAAAGTGGGAGTGGGAGCACCTCTTACCTTAGCAGATGTTTTTCTTGGTTTCGGTTCAGGTTTTGGTGGAGCAGGTTTCTGCAAAGATAAATTAAATTATACAAACACAGACAAAGACAACCCTCAGCACCAACATGAACACAAAAAGGCTACAAAAGACAACAGTCCATTTTGACTATGATTTTTGTGTATTTAAAATATATTTCATTCTATTTTCAGCATCAGCTAACAGCATAAAGATCTCTGCAATTTCATAACTATTTTCATCCTAGGTTCTCAAGTTAACGGCAGGTGAGATTTAAAAGCCGACTCATTATTCCTGAGTCCAGAATAGCTCTCCGGGAATGGGTTTAAGCTTCTATCTCTGATGTCTCTGTACTTCCTTTTATCACAGCGCAGCAGCAAGAGGAATGACTCAGGCTGTCGGCCAAATGACTCAATGAATTCAGTCACACTCGCCTTCCCAACAGTCTAGAAATCACAGCACAATCACAGGCAAAGCCCATCCGGTAATGAAGACTGCTGCCTGTGAAGAATTTCAAAAGCATTTCCAAATCCTTTCACCTCTGATGTAGATTTCAGGTTCTGGAGCCAAGTGTCCTCCCACTTTCATCATCTCCAATGCCAGCTCAAGGTGGAAAGAATCCCTTGCCCACCCAGATGCTGGGCTCATCTTATCCCTAGAGTTTTCTATTGACATGATGACAATGACAAAATCTCCACTGTTAGCCCCAAAGTTTAAGATTTTTCACAGATCTTATTAGCCAGAGAGCTCACTTGGCAACTCTTTTCTGTTGCCTTGGATGGTTCTCCTTCCCATTCCCGTGAGCAGCGTCTGCCTGCCCTGCGGCCACAGCTCCCTCCACACAGGCCCTCGGCCTTGGCGCATCCCAGGGCCCTGCGAACCTGGGCACCAGGGACGCTGGGAAAAATAACCAGTTTAACCCTGGCTGTTTTAGGGCAAATATTTCTCTCATGGAGTTAGAAAAAAATAAGCGTATATCTCTCCTGGCGCTAGGAGGGTATGGTTTTTAAACAGAAAACACTGGCTGTGGTCTCCCCGTGTGGAGAAAAATACATGTTCTTCCCCAAGGCCTCCAGGTGTTTCAGGCTCACTTTGAAACTGGCTCTTTTCATGAAGGGCTTAAAGTAAACTTGTAGACAGTTAAATTCCTGAAGACTGTCTGTTAGAAGACCTTAAAATAAAAAAAGAAAACTGAGCTTGAAGAGTAAGGGGTGTTTTATTAATCTTCTTACCACTCTAAATCTGTATTCTGCTCCCCAAATACAGCTGCTTGCAAGCTTGCATGGCTCCTAAATCTTCAGGATTTAAAAACTTTAATTTGGGTTTTGATATATTGTCTTTACACTTATTTTTCTCAATTTACAGCAAATAATTTCCTTTTATATTATCTTCTGTAAGACAGCCTTTGTCCCCGACTCAGCACTCACGGGTTTTGATGGGACAGGAATGAGGCGGCTGCAGTGCTTAGCCCCACCTCCCAGGAGGTTCTGCGCCAGCGCCTTGGGCAAGAACCTCAGGCGGTTCCTGGTGCTCAAGAAAAGTCTTGTTTTTGTTTTAGATTTTGGGTATTATTTGATTTACAAAGTCTATTCCCTTAATGGGCCAGAGATCCATGGAATAAAGTGGCTTTTAGTAAAATCTATAGTTCAGCCTAAAAAGAGTTTAAACTAACTTCTGAGCCATGCTGAAAGTTACTATTAGACACAGCACACCATCTTTCGCGGGGTTTCTGAGGAAATCTGGATTAACTGTGTACACACCCTGCATTTCCCAGCTCTTAAATCTTCCTGGTGACTCTGCTATCACTTCCTTAGGCTGGGGCTCCCGTGAAACACTGGCTCACTCAACTCAAACTCAGTTACACTCTGACCTTGTGACTCTGACGTCCTAGTCTGCTCCAGGCATGGGTGTTGGCTGAGAAGGAAATTCATGCTTTCCCCAAAGGCCAAATTTGGGGAAATCTGTACTATCTACTATGGGGATATAAGTTGTCAGCCAAGAGGTCAATGCCTTTCCCCTACATCTCAGTGGGCAGTGTGGGCTGCTGGTGTTTTAACCAAATCCTCCACCAGACAGCCAGTCCCCGTCTTGGCAGAATGGAGAGTGGACAACAGTCAGCAGGCAGCAGACAGGCACACGAGAGCCAGCGAGGAGCTGTGTGGTGAGAAGGGCCGGAGCATGCTCATTGCCAGGCCTGGCACACCTGCCCGTCCCTGCTTCAGGGATCTATCCTCGTCTCTTCCCTGGGCCTGGCCCACAGAAGAAGGCTCCAAGTGGCAAAGTGGAATCATTACTTTTATAAAGATCTTACAGTTCTGAAATGAGGCTACAGTGTTTGTAGTAAGATAACTTTTAGAACATTCTGACTAAAATATGAGTTGTAGACAGAAAATCAGAATTCTTGTCCACTTTAGCTCATCATAGGTAGACTCAGAAGGCTGCAACTTTGCTTAAGGTACTTCTTTGGTTTCAGAGACGTAGCAATATCAAACTTCCTGTGCTTTACATTCCTGGTAATGGGGCTGGCCAGTCTGTCACCCACACATCTGATCAAGGGAACTGCTTGGCAACAATGGTTGAATTTGCTATATATTGTGACCCACGTAATTTCCAAAAAACTCAGGAAACATTTAACCTTCCTTCTGCTCCTGTGCTCTGGACAGGGGGAAGAAACCTGAACTCACAGGAACTAACACCAGGGGTTTCTAAAGTACTCACCGCTGACAACCTGGCAGACCGTCTCGTGGGCTACAAAGGAAATGGAAAAATGCGTATTTTTTAGTGATTCTACACAGCCAAGTTGACTTTTAAAAATTCTTTCTTAATATCTTATATTTGTTGAAAGAATATAATGTATGGCTCTTATCACCCTCTCCAGGTGAGTGCAGTGCAGCACCCCAAGTAACCCTGGCCACCCGAATGTTCAAGAGGATGTTTCTGAAGAGGTGTGGGCACCTGGTCAAAGAAATGGCCTCTCCTGATGAGTAAGGAAAGAAAAGGAAGATGAAATTCAGGCTCTGAACCATTATCTCTACTTCTGGGATAAAACAGACAGCAGGAACACTGAGGTGCTATTTAAGAACTGATTTCCAGTCTGACTCTTGCTCCTTACCTATGGAACTAAAGCTTATAAGTTAATACAACAGACTTGCATTACTGTGCAGAAATCAAAATAGCAGAAGTTCCCAGTCTTATTACTACATTAGAAAAGAGAATGACTACAAGTCTTAGGCAGTTAATGAGAAAGGTTTCCTTTTACCTGTAACAAAATAAACACATTTATTTCTCTACTAAATGCATATGTTTAAAGATTTAAATGGAGAACAAAGTTCATTAATTTTTTCTTTTAATTTGGAAATTTAGAAAATTTAGAGAGAAACTGTATTGAGACGGATGTTGTTCAGGAAATCTTCTTCTTCAGTAACGGTGCAAGGTAGCAAATGAGATGGCAAAAAATTTTTAAATAACAGAACTCTTGCCCGACCGGTGTGGCGCACTGGTTGAGTGTTGAACCATGCACCAGGAGGTTGCCGGTTCGATTCCTGGTCAGGGCACATGCCCAGGTTGTGGGCCCGATCCCCAGTGGGGGGCATGCAGGAAGCAGCCAATCGATGTTCTCTCTCATCAATGTTTCTATCTCTCTCCCTCTCCTTTCCTCTCTCTAAAATCAATGAAGAAAAAAATATTAATAATAAAAAAAATAACAACTCTTCTAGGCATTTCAGAAATAAGCATTCAGAACTGATATTGTACTTACCATCAGCAAAAGATGGCTCCCCAAGGGATTTCACAGTCTAAAAGTATAACTGCCTTTCTTTAATGTGTCCTAGAAGTAAATACTCCATACTTTTTATTCGCTGCTTTACTCCAGTAGAAGAGTATGCCACCTAACATATTGTACATACTCAACGTTTGCTCAAAAAATGGAACTCCAGCTTTTCCCTAAGTCTTGCTGCTTTGTGCAGACTTTGCCTTATTATAATAGCTTAAATGTCTCAAATAATTTTTTAAGAGGGTCAGAAAAATGATCAGCAGCAGCCCATGCCATGAGTGCAAAGAATTATGAAATTCTTGAAGCTGTGCTTAGGTCGGTCTAGGTCAGCTGGTCAGGCAAAACTGGAGGAAATATTTCTTGCCATCTCTACATCTAAGAAATTCTTGCTGAAAATAGCCACAGGAAGCTAAACTCATCTTTCTTTAAACTACAGAAAGAAAATGAAGGGCCAGAGCCTTCATGAATAATTTTAACCCTGGGTCTCAAGGAAAGATCACAGCTGGACTTGAGGCCAGCTAGCAGAATGTGCTGAGACCAGGGGACAGCTCAGGCTAAGTGGTGACTGTGACACACAGTCACTGCATAGGGAAAGAGGATGCACCCCTCAGCACACAGTGTGGGAAGCTCCCCAGGGGATACCACGGCGTGTTAGGGTTATCGTAACAACGCACCACGCGTCACTGGGAACCAGAACCCAAATTCTGTGATGCCTTTCCCAGGATGATGAGTTGCATAAATTGGGTATTACTGAAGAAACGGCAACATTATCAGTTAAACCGGCAGCAAGAGGGTGACTTGTGCTTCTTCAACATGGAGCCAGAGCATGGAGGAGCAATGAGCACCCGCCAGGTACCGAACAGAGCTCAGCTTTGACACTTCTGTGTGGCCTCAACAACTACCCATCCTATCTCACAATAAAGTGCAGCCAGCACAGAGTGCTCAGGAAGATACTCTCTGAGAGGACGAGTGGCAGACTCCATGCTAAAGAGGGGTGACCAGACCTTATCTGAACCCCTGTCGACTTTGTGTCAACATCTGTGTACCCTGCTGGCCTTACCTCACCATTCACCTCATCTGTGTCGTGTCTGCCCCTTCTGCACAGGACCATCTTCTCTAACATTTCCATAGCTCCAATGCCTAGCGGGGTCCCTCAATAAACTAGAAGGTGAACACTAAGAAATGTACAGCAAGTTTGACCTTGGGAGAGGTGTCAAGATCACTGTCTCATTTTACTGCACTTCGCAGATGACTGTGTTTTCATTAACACCAAGCAAGACCCTCTACCGGCAAAAGATCATGACTCACTGAAGGCTCCAGTGATCGTTAGCATTTTATAGCAATGAAGTCTTTTAAAGTTAAGGTAGGTACATTGTTTTTTAGGCATAATGCTATTGCACACTTAATACATTACAGTATAGTGTAAATAAAACTTTTTCAAAATCCTCACCCGAGGATATATTTTTATTGATTTTTAGAGAGAAAGGAAGGGTGGAGAAACATTCATGTGAGAGAGAAACATCAATTGGTTGCCTCCTATAAGTACCTGACTGAGAGTCGAACCCACAATCTTTTGGTGCACAGCACGACGCTGTTATTAACTAAGCCACCAGGCCAGGACATAAATATGACTTTTATATACACTGAGAAACAAAACAATTCATGTGACTTGCTTTATTGTAATAGTCACTTGATGGTCGTGGTCTAGAACCAAACCTGCTATATCTCTGAGACATGCTTATACCTGGTCAGGTACTATTCATTTTGGGGCCTGAAAAGGGGCCAAGTATGTCAACCATTACTCATAAGTACTTCTGTATCCGACAACTAGCTGTCCTGATAAACGCTGAAGTGAGGCCAACTCATGTGAAAATTCCCCCACTCATACTCTCGCTCCTTTCCTCCCATGTGAACACCCAAACGTGAAGAGGCAGGGTGATGTCGGGGAGCCCTTTGGGATTTCCAGAGAGACTTTCCGAACAAAGCACTGCTCTGCAGGGCCTGCAAGCTGTTCTGATGCAAAGACTCACCAGCCTTTGATAATTCAGGTCAGTACAAGAGTTGCAAAATGAAAAGCCTATGAAATTAATGGAAAAACAAAGTTTGCTTTTCTGGACTGTCTAAAGTACCTAATCTCTAAAATGCACATCTTTTACTGTAAAATCATTTTATGACTTCCTGCCTACAATTTACCAGCTCTTCTTTCTATGCTATAAAAAAAAAGAAAGAAAGAAAAAAAAAAGAATTTTCTTAAATTTTCCTTTCTGGGAACCATGAGAAGAGATTTTCTTTTTCGCTGCAAACAGTGGAGGCTGAGGCGAACCTTGCATGCAGTCCGCAGAACTGGGTGCACATGCAAGTGTGTGTACCTTCTGGAAAGTTTCATTAGCTTCACAGCCTTAAAATCTGTAAGTGACTGGACTATATTATTAGATATTAAATAGACTAGACTGCTATTTTATTCCTCTTGGAAACACTTGAATTTGAAGTATTCATTTGAGACTCAGGCTACTGGGCAGGACCTCTATGAAAAGATAGTAAGAGTTTCTCGTGATTTATGGATTGTAAATCCCAGGAAAAGTGGCCAAAAGAATGGTCCTCAGGGAAGGAAGGACGGCTTTTAGAATGATAGGTCACCGCCTGGCCAGTGTGACTCAGTGGATTGAGTGTTGTTCGGTGGATTGAGCGGTCCCAGTTCGATTTCCAGTCTGGGCACATGCCCAGGTTTTGGGCTTGCAGCCGATGGATGTTTCTATCTTGCTCTCCCTTTCTCTCTCTCAAAAATCAATAAAAACATATTTTAAAAAATCTTTAGAATGATAGGTCCTCAAAAGAGGTACAGAAACAATGTCATGACTTGTCACTGTGGTATACAGGTGCTGGGCACAACGGAATTATTCAGTAAGCATTTGCTGATTAGCTGATCACTCCCCGGGTTGGAGAAAATTCTCCAAGGCTACTCTGAAAGACATGGAGTCTTTTACTTTTGTGCAACATGGACATCTAGTCTTGCTATGACAAAGTTCACTGGGGTAGAGAGAGCTAGATTCAAGCAGAATTACTGGACTTTGCTGAACACTGCTTGAAACATAGTGGTGATTTCACCGGATTTGAAAGTATGTTTATTTTTATGAGATTTCTTAATGTACCTGAGCCTGACCATGTACTTCCAAACAAAACCCAAAATTCAAGTTGCTTTTAATTTCAAAACACAAATGAGGAACTAAATAGCAATGACCTTCTTTGCAAAACTGGAAGGTAGGAAAAGATGTAAGTCAGAGCCTTGGCAGAGAAAAAGCACTGAATAATCAGATTTTTATGATTATCACAAAAGGGGCATGAGGACAGAGGACGTTGAATCAGGACATTCAGATATCTTTTCTGGTTTTGCAATTCACAAGTGGTGACACATGGGGAAAATCATATATGTCTCGGAGGACACTGTATTAGTGAAAATGAAGATACTGTATATAAATAAAGACTCCTACTTCACGGAAATTCATTTATCGTGGTAGAGTCTGGAACTGATTAACCGTGATAAACGAGGGCCGACTGTAATAACATCTGCCTATTATCAAACACAGCACTTCTATGACATTCACTATTCGCTTTCCTTGTTTCATTTTCCTTAACAGCAAATATCCACCTATTTTATTTTACTCTCTCTCCCCCCTGCTAAAATGGAAGCTCCATGAAGTCAGAGACTTTTGCTTCTTTTGTTCACTGTGGACTCTGCAAAGCCTAGAAAAATGCTTGGTACATTATGGGTGCTCAGTACATTTCTATCAAGGAATGAATCTGCTCTGCCCTCATTTTAGGGTTACTGTAAGGATCAGATAAAATAATGTATGTGAAAGGGCTGTAGAAACTGCTGAGTATAATGACTGTAATATATTGTTTGGGTCATTTATTATCCAAATACTTAATTCTGCACCACACTCTTCAAATATCATGGCAGAGACAGAGGCTTTTCAAATCCTTTGTAACTAGAAAATTCAAACAATTCAGTGGGGGTAAAATTAGTCAATATACTGTCTGACAATTCTTACCCTAAACCCTAAATCACTAGCTAACCCACCGACCTTTTCACTTTTCAAACAATTGTGCTGATGTCTTGAAGGAATATCATGAGTTTACATTTGGTTTTGGTTTAAATGACAGGTGAAATCTTATCTAGGAAGGATTTTTGTTAGCAATAATAGAAAACAAATAATAATATAAAAATAGAATATTAAAAGTAATAATACAGGCATACCTCTCAGAACCACAATAAAGTGAATATCTCAATAAAGTGTCACACAATTTTTGATTTCCCAGTCCATATAAAAGGTATGTTTACACTATACTGCAGTCTATTAAGTGTGCAATAATAGCATTATGCCTATAAAAACAATGCACATACCTTAATAAAAATACTTTATTGCTAAAAGATGCCTATCATCATCTGAGCTTTCAGCAGTTGCCACAAACCTTCAAAGTATGAAAAATGCAAGACCTGCAAAGCACAATAAAGTGTATGACAAAACAAGGGGTGCCTGTAATATAAATAAAAATTCCAGGGCCAAAATAATATGCATGAGACAGCTGTATAAGCAAAGTTCTTTTACATATATTCTAACCAGCTTGATTGCTTTTTAGTGAAGAAAGATTGGAAAGACTGTTTTCACTATCCAAGCACTACTGTGTGCAATGGTTTCTAGGTTTTCTGACTGACAGATTAATTTCAATAGCAGTCACTAAGGAGAAACCCTATTGCATTTCATACCTAAATCCAAAAACATTAAGGTTCATTAAATACCAACTGTCTTACAAATCATATTTTTCCATTTTCAAGAAAATTCAGAAGTTCATCATTCTTTGGATGGTTCTGTCATTTGTACAGTGACTTGATTTTGGATCAAAAACTTTACCTCCCAAACTATTAGACTGAATGCTAGGTAAGTGAATGATGGGGATGTGGTTATAGGCAGTTTCGTTTTGCTTTTAAATTATTTTTTTATAGATTCTGTTAAAGATTTTCCATTTAGCAGAATAAATTTCCTTGTACAAATCCTGTGCGAGGATTTTACTATCACGATAAACTCCTCTGAATTATTATCCACAATACAAAATCACCCAATCAAAGAATCTGTAACTAGTTTTTTTTATCCTCACCTGAGGACATTTTTCATTTCTTGTTCAGACAGAGTGGGAGGGAGAGAGAGGAAGAGAGAGAGAGAGAAACATCAATGTGAAAGGGATACATCGAGTGGTTGCCACCCACATGACCCAACCAGGGCCAGGGACAAACTGCAACTGAGGTACGTGCCCTTAGCGGGAACCAAACCCGGGTCTCTCTGGACCACAGGCCAACGTTCTAACCACTAAGCCAAACTGGCCAGGGCCACAATTGTTTTTAATCTCTCTCATGACCCATTTTAGTTTATAAGTTCAACAGTAAGAGCCACAGCTTTTCAACACACTGCAAACTCCATGCAAAAGTGAATGGCCATTACCATAGTTACCATCTCACTTGCTACTTTTCACCTATCCCCTTGTAGAAGTTCATGATTGTACCAGGGAGGGTCAAATGCAAGCATTCCCAGTTCCTAGCTGTTGGGAGGTTTCTGTATTTTAACACAGAGCTTCTTTGAATTTTGCCTAATTAAGAATTTTTCTGATTTAAAAACCCAACTTTAATATTTTAACATCTTGTATATCCTTCCATAGTTTTTTACTTTAGAGATGACTCCTCTTAGGCAAATTTCATAACCTAAAAAGTAATTTATAATTCACTCACTGGAGCAGAGAATGTATTAAATCAACAGTCTTTGATTTCCTTGCTATGAAAGGCAGACTTTGTTCTCCTTGATGAATTTACCTATTATCTCGATTTTTGCCCAGAAGGAATTCTCAGTATCTGCTTTAACAGACAACAGGACCGACAGATAGAAACATAAACAACACTGTAAGTGGAAAATGACTCATCTGTGAACCCAACTGAATTATACCTAGGCCAAGGGAGACTACACAGAGACACTTTTATCTCTGACTTATGTAGTCTCAACAACTTGCACAGGAGTAGTATTCATTCAGATGCAGAAAGTCATAACAATATTGAAAATTCCAGTTAAATAATTAAATACAGGATGTCAAAGATACACTTACCTCCTGTTTAGTTACTTTGGATCCATCCTTGCCCTCTGTATTCTCTGGAGACTAGAAAGAATATATTTCAGTGAATTGTATTTAAATTGGAAAACACACATTAGAGACAGATTTTAAAAAAGATATTGAAATTCTCTGGACTACATAAACCAACAGGTATTTTGTGGGGAAAAGTAAGTTTACACACACTGCATTTATCTGCGTAACTGCTCTCATTTTAAACCAGGAGTGTCAATGTACATTCACCCTAAGCCATCTGATGATTCCCTGTGGTAAAGAACAGGGACCCAGCAGTCAGTGGCAAGGATGCCTGGGATCCAGTTGCTTTGATGCTCTGAGATGAGAGCAGGATGCTGGGAAAGCCCAAGCCAACTGCAAAGCGGATTTTCATCCCATACTTCTAGCTTTGATTTCTAGCCCACTTCTTGGTATGACTTGACTTGATACTTACTACTTCTATAAAATATTACTATTTTTCCATTATCAACGCCAGCACCTGTACTACACTCCCAGCCTTATAAGGCAGCCAAGAGGTTGCCATCCCAGCTGATTTGTTCCCTGATTTTAATCCAGCCGTGTGCAGCACCTACCCACTCTTGTGACTGTTCAAACCTGCCTCTTTTACAAGCTTGCATACAAAGGGAAAATATAGTTAGATTTACATGACATACCAAGTACCCTTATGTATTTTTATACACCTCAATCTATTTTTATTGGCTGAAGTCAATAAGATTAAAACCATTAGAAAAAATAAACTATTTAACACAAGATATGGATAGAATTCCCATCAGGAAAAAATACAAATAGCAAACCAATGTTTGGCACAATGTTTGACTTAGCAAAAATAAAACTGCTATGTGGTAATAACTTATTTAATACAATGAGAAAAAAATGTAAGATCATAAAAATGTAAGATCACTGTATGGTGGGGCAGGTGACATGGCAGTTAATGTTCTCAAAGAACAAGCTGGCAATATGAAAAAGACACATAGAACTGATAACCCAGTAATTCCAATTTTCAATCCAGTACTCAAAGAAAGACTCTAGAAAATACAGTTTTATTTGTACTGTTTCTAATATGGAATAACTGGAAATGACTTACTGGAAATGTTTAAGTAAACTATGTAACTATGTAATGGGATTAAAATATTTAGGCTATGTGGCTACGTAGAAAGTACACATAAAATAATGCTAAATTAAAAAACTTATAAAACAATATGTAAAACATAGATCAGAAGTATTTAAAGTCTTTGAGAAAGACAAAAGTTTTTATTTAAGTCAAAGGACACAGTAAACCTCTTCTTTCTAGGGTTTCCTGTCACCAACTATCAGTTCACCTTTCACAACTTCCCAGATCCAAGGAGTTCTCTTTGGTTTCCCAAATCGATGAATTCTATTCCCTCCTCCATGGGACCTCCTACATCATAAAGGGAAACAGCTTTCCTTTTCTGTTCTCCACTCTAATGCACAGGGTTGTCTGGTTCACAGATCAGTACTCTATCAGTCAGCGGAGTTAGAGAGGGCACATCTTAAAAAGTCTGACTGTATGAAGACAATTCCTGGATGGTCTATTTGGCTGTGTTTACTTCCTCAGCTCACTTCACAAACCTGACCCTCTGGCCACAGACCAGACCCTCTGTTGTCAAGGAGTGCTGGGCTGTCCTTCATACCTGTCAAGCCAGTTGGTAGATTTAAATCTGGGGTACACTCTACCTGTTACTGACAGGCATTTAAAGAAGCAGCATATAGCTACTGCTGATGTTAAATGACATTAAAAAATAAAAAATGATTGAATGACATTACTTCCCATATTTTTCTAAGCAGAATTAGTGACAACAATATTATAAGTGAGAGATCACTCTCTAAACACTGACCTAATAATGTTTGGATATAAGTTACTGAAAAAGAGAAACCTGCAAAGATGCCACATAGAAAAAAACAGGTATAATTGAAAAGATTCACGCCTTCAGATGAATGAATGTAAGACTAGAGATGTGAAGAACTACAACTGGAGGCAAAGCTGGTTTCTCTGTCAATCTCTCCACAAGGGCTCTCTATGTAACACATTTACAGTCGGGAACAACCCAACTGATCTTTACCCTGGGATCAGTGTGGTAGGTACTATGGCACAAATGCAGGTCAGGACACCGGCTTAAATCTTGGCTTTCTACCTAAGAGCTGTGTGATCTGCGGCAGTGCCTTGATCACAGTGGTGGTCTCTTCATCTGTGAATGACAAATGATAATGATGCAATTCAAAGGGTCATGCTTGTGATCAAGAGAGATGTTGGGGAGAGCATTTCATAGAATTGTTATATAGACATCATGCAACAAAAGATAAAAGCTCTTAATGAGTCTTCTGAATTATCAAATATAAAATTATATTCAACAAAGTCTTGGACTTGAACACATCCTCTTGCATCCAGATTCCCGGCAAGCTTGTCATCTGTTTTTATTGCACAGATTAACAGGTATACTATTTCAGAAAGACCAACCATTTCAGGCTATCTTATTGTCCCCCCATCTAACATTACATTTAGCCATGAGGCTGGAGATAGTAAGGAGGGAATGGAATGAAAGAATTAAAAGAGAAGTACAAAATTTTCTATTTCAAGGGATTGTGAGGGGTATAAACAAAGACAAGGGGGAAACAAGGCTTGAGGGTGTACATAGATGTACATAGATGATCTCAGATGTATTTCAATATTCTAGCAGGCTGATGGGAAGAATGAGGTGATTAAGATGGGGGGAGGAGCAGGGAATTCCAAGGCAGAGCGGTTCTTCCACACTCCCCAGGATAGGGCAGGTTTATGCTAATCCAGTTTGAACCCAGAATGGTCAAGAGGGCAGAGAATCATGGTCAAATGAAAAGGTCTCACTCACATATCCAAGGCTCCTTCAGTACCCAACTGGCGTGGGTACTGAGTTGAGAGCCAACACAGGGTAGGGGACATACATGGTGGCCAGATGGAAGGTACAATAGGGATTCTGGGAGTCTAGAGTACCACTGAGAGCTGATCTGAGGGCAAGTCAGCAGGCAGGTTGATTACTGAACACTTGGTAACCCTGTGAGGATAAAGAACTGGGCTACAAGGCCTGAACTTTGGCAAAAATCAACAGGCAGTTGAATTTTTTTTTTTATTACAAATTTTGAAAATAAAAGGAGGCTCATTAAAAGAGGAAAAACTTGAAACATAAACACTAAACCAGGGACAGTAAAAGAAATAAGGAATTGTCACAGACTGCTAAGAAATTAGCTCAGAATGCAACAAGGAGCAATAAAGAAATGAATAGTATGGAAGAGAGGTTAGGAGACATGGTGGGTAATTGAGAAGCTCACATATACCTAATAGTTATTTTGTAAGCAGAGAACAGAGGTAGTATTAGGAAGGCAAAGACATAAATAAGCTGAGAATATTCTGAAATTGATGTCATGAGTCTCCAGATTGAAAGCTCACACCAAGGAACAAACTAGAAACAAACAGAACAAACAAATACATTGAGAAATACTGTAATAAAACTACAGAATGTCAAGGAAAGTGGGAAATATCTTAAAAGTTATCAGAGTTAAAATATGGATAATCTACAAAAAATTACTTCTCACCAGCAACTACAAAGGTCAGAAAATATGGAGTAATGTTCAAGGAGCTAAGAAAAACTGTCAACCTAGAATTCTATACCCAGCTATCATTCAAGAATGAAGGCAAAATACTGTAAAGACCAACAGAGCTTTTCTTTCAATAAGGACCTATTACTAAAAGATCAAATTCAGCAATTAAAAAAATGAATCCAGATCAAGGTAAGGATACAAGAAATGCATAAAAATATGTTGGTAAATCTAATTAACTATTACCTATAGATAATACTACCTATTTTATGTGTGTATAAATTTTTTAATGTTTCAATTAAAATCCTAGATCAGTGCTATACTATAGAAATATATAATGTAATTTTTTATTTTCTAAGAACCACATTGAAAAAGTAAAAAGTAGATGAAATTAATTTTAATATTTTATATAACTAAATATATCTAAAATTTCATTGCTTCAACATGTAATCAATATACAAATTATTGAGATGTTACACAAACACTTTTGTACTAAATCTTCAAAGTTTGACATGTATTTTATACTGATAGGACATGTCCACTTAAGTGCGAAGTTTTCACCAGGAATACCTGATCTGTATTTAGTGTTCATAAAGTTATAGTGGTTTTACACATCCAGGTTGTTTCAAACACATTTAAAATTTTCCACTAGCTTAATCTAATACCAGTTTTTAAATTTAAATAGATTAAAATTAAAAATTTTCAAATTCAGCTCATTCTTTTTATGTGGTTAATAGCCTCGTGAAGCTACTGGCTACCATAATGGACAGCATAGTTCTAGACAATAACCACTACAAAAAAATGGGAGTAGGATATCTCAGAAGTTAAAGGTCCTAGTTTTGTTCTGAAAAACAATACAGACACAGAAAAATTTTACATTTTGTTAAAATAAAATTTAAAGAGAGTCATTAAAATTTTTAAGAAAATAAATAAGATCTAGAAACTTACAAGTCAGGAGGAGGAAAAGTAAGCAAACTTTACAAATAAAAGGCAAGGGAGAAAAGAACAAAGCAAGTGAAAACACATGATAAATAGAAACCACAAAATAAGTCACCTGAAAGGTCCAAATACATTAAGAATCACAATATACCTAAGCAAATTATACTCTTTCATAATGTCAAGTGGCGGAAGAAAATAAGAATACACGTATATGATTCCACTTTCATAAATTTTAAAACATGAACAAATCAATATTTTGGATTTATATATAAGTCGCATATATATCATAAATGCATAAAATCATGGACTGAAAGGATACACACCAAATTCATAACGGTTGTCTCTAGGGAGGCTGACAAGAGAAGGGAACCAAGGGGGTGTTTTGAACTTGAACTTTATCTGTAACGTTTTATTTAATAAAAATATCTGAAGCAAATATGATAAAAGTAAGTCACATTTTAAAATCTGAGCAGTGGGTAAACAGAAATGTTATATTATTTCCTGGC